TTTTTTGCAGATGGATATCCAGTTAACCAGCACCGTTTGTTAAAGAGACTGTCTTTTCCCCAATTAATGGACTTTAGGCATTTGTCAAATATCAGCTGCTCATACGTGGATGAATTTATGTCTGGATTCTCAATTCTGTTCCATTGGTCTATGTATCTGTTGTTGTACCAGTACCAGCCTGTTTTGACTACCATGGTAGTGTAATAGGTTCTAAAATCAGGTAGTGTGAGGCCTCCCACTTTGTTCTCCTTCTTCAGTAATGCTTTACTTATTCGAGGCCTCTTCCCTTTCCATATGAAGTTGGTGATTTGTTTCTCCATCTCATTAAAAAATGCTGGTGGAATTTGGATCGGGATTGCATGGTATCTGTAGATCGCTTTGGGTAGAACTGACATTTTCACAATGTTGGTCTTCCTATCCATGAGCAAGGTATGTTTTTCCACACATGCAGGTCTCTTTTGGTTTCTTGCAGTAGTGTCTTGTAGTTTTCCTTGTATAGGTCTTTTACATCTCTGGTTAGATTTATTCCTAAGTGTTTTATCTTCTTTGGGGCTGTTGTAAATGGTATTGATTTGGTGATTCCCTCTTCAGAGATCTCTTTTTTTGGTGTAAATGAATCCAGCTGATTTTTGTATGTTTACCTTTTATCCTAATACTTTGCTGAAATCTTCTACTAGTTCTAGTAGTTTTTTTGGGAATTCTTTGGGGTTTCTGTGTATAAGATCATATCATCTGCAAGTAGAGATACTTTGACTTCTTCCTTACTAGTCTGGATGCCCTTTATTTCTTTTTCTAGCATAATTGCTCTGGCTAGGACCTCCAGCACAACGTTGAGTAAGAGTGGTGATAAAGGGCATCCTTGTCCGGTTCCTGTTCTCGAGGGGCGTGCTTTCAAAGTCTCTCTATTTAAGATGATGTTGGCTGTTGGCTTTGTATAAATGCCCTTAATTATTTTGAGCAATTTCCCTTCTGTGCCTGTTATGCTGAGAGTTTTTGTCATGAATGGGTGTTGGAGTTTGTCAAATGCCTTTTCTACATCAATTGATAAGATCATATGGTTCTTGTCTTTAGTTTTATTAATGTGATGGATTACATTGATTGTTTTTCTAATGTTGAATCACCCCTGTGTACCTGATATAAATCCCACTTGATCATGGTGAATTATTTTTTTGATATGTTGTTGAATTCTATTGGCTAGAGTTTTGTTGAGGATTTTTGTGTCAGTGTTCATGACGGGTATTAGTCTGTAGTTTTCTTTTTTTGTAGTGTCTTTACCTGGTTTTGGTATCAAGGTTATGCTGGCTTCATAGAATGAGTTTGGGAGTATTCCATCCTTTTCTGTGCTCTAAAATACTTTCAGTACTAGTGGTGTTAATTCTTCTTTGAAAGTTTGGTAGAATTCTCCAGTGAAACTGTCAGGGCCAGGGCATTTTTTTGGTTGAGAGTTTTAAAATTACCTTTTCAATCTGTTCTTTTGTTACAGATTTTATATAGTTGTTCTACCTCTGTGTTAGTTTAGGTAGGCAGTGAATTTCTTGAAATTTGTCCATTTCCTCTAGGTTTTCAAATTTGTTAGAGTACAGTTTTTCATAGAATTCTGTTATGATTCTTTTAATTTTCATTAGGTCTGTTGTGATGTCACCATCTCATTTCTCATACAGGTTATCTGCTTCCTCTCCTGTTTTTCTTTTGTCAGTTTGGCCAGTGGTTTATCAATTTTGTTGATCTTTTCAAAGAACCAGCTTTTGTTCTTGTTAACTCTTTCAATTGTTTTTCTAGTCTATTTCATTTAATTCTGCTCTGATTCTTATTATTTCCTTTCTCATGGCGCCCGAGGGCTTCTTTTGCTGCTCTCTTTCTGCTTGTTTGAGTTGTAGGGTTAATGTTTTGATTTTGGCCCTTTCTTCTTTTTGGATGTGTACGTTTATTGCTATAAACTGACACAGCTTTTGCTGTGTCCCAAAGATTCTGGTAGAATGTGTTTTCATTCTCGTTTGATTCTGTGAATTTCTTTATTCCATCCTTAATTTCTTCTATAACCCAGTAGTTTTTGAGCAAGGTGGTGTTCAGTTTCTATGTGTTTGATTTTTTTCCCTTGCTTTTTCTGTCTTTGATTTCTACTTTTATGGCTTTATGGTCAGAAAAGATGCTTTGTAATATTTTGATGCTTTGGATGTTATTAAGGCTTGCTGTGTGGCCTAATATGTGGTGTATTCTGGAGAATGTTCCATGTGTATTGGAAAAGAAAGTATACTTGGCAGCTCTTGGGTGGAGTGTTTGGTATATGTCTCTGAGATCAAGTTGGTTGTTTGTGGCATTTAGATCTTCCGTGTCTTTACTGAGCTTCTTTTTGGATGTTCTGTCCTTCAGCGAAAGTGGTGTGTTGAAGTCTCCTACTATTATTGTGGAGCTGTCTATCACTCTTTTCAGTGCTGTTAGAGTTTGTTTTATGTATTTTGGAGCCCTGTCACTGAGTGCGTAAATATTTATTATGGTTATGTCCTCCTGGTGTATTGATCCTTTAATCATTGTACAGTGTCCTTCCTTATCCTTTGTGTTGGATTTTACTTTAAAGTCTATTTTGTCAGAGATTAATATTGCCACTCCTGCTCTTTTTTGAGTGTTGTTTGTTTGATAGTTTTTTCCATCCTTTGAGTTTTGTTTGTGTCTTTAAGTCTAAGGTGTGTCTCTTGTAGACAGCATATAGACAGATAGTGTTCTTTTATCCATTCTGCCACTCTCTCTTCATTGGTGCATTTAGTCCATTTACGTTCAGCATAATTATTGATAGGTATGAGTTTAGTGCTGTCGTTTTGATGTGTTTTTTTGTGTGTGTGTGTGTGTGTGTGTGTTGTTGACAGTTTCTTTGTTCTACTTAATTATCTGTGCTGAGTCATTTTTCTTTATGCATTTTCTTTTCATCTTTTTCAGTGTTGTTGACTTTGTATTTGCTGAGTCTTTGTATTTTTCTTGTTTTTTATTTTGATGTGTAGGATTGTTAGTTTCCTTTGTGGTTACCTTAATATTTACCCCTATTTTTCTAAGTTTATACCAGTCTTTTATTTCTTTATATTGCCTTGACTTCTCCATATGAAAGATCTATGTCTACATTTTTTAGTCCCTCTTTTTTGTTTTAATGTTGTCATCTTTTACATCTTAACATCTCTGTTTTCCTGTTTTCAGTGTTTTAGCTTTGATTTATTTTTGTGACTTCCCCATCTGGGTAGATGTCTGGTTGCTCTGTCATGTGTTCTAGTCTTTGGTTGTTATCTGATGTTACGGACTTTCTAACCAGAAGACTCCCTTTAATATTCCTTGTAATTTTAGCTTGATTTTTGCAAATTCCCTAAACTTCTGTTTATCTGGAAATGCCCTAATTTCGCCATCATATTTGAGAGACAGTTTTGCTGGATATATAATCTTGGCTGGTCATTTTTTTCCTTCAAGGCTTTATATATGTCATCCCATTGCCTTCTTGCCTACATGGTTTCTGCTGAGTAGTCCGTGCTTATTCTTATTGACTTTCCTTTGTAGATGACTTTTCATTTATCCCTAGCTGCTCTTAAGATTCTCTCTTTATCTTTGGTTTTGGTAAGTTTGAGTATAATATATCTTCATGACTTCCTTTTGGGATCTATCTTATGTGGGGTTCGATGAGCATCTTGGATAGATATCTTGTCATCTTTCACGATACCAGGGACGTTTTCTGCCAACAAATCTGCAGCAATTCTGTCTGTATTTTCTGTTATCCCCCTCTGTTCTGGTACTCCAGTCACTTGTAGGTTATTCCTCTTGATAGAGTCCCATATAATTCTTAGGGTTTCTTCATTTTTTTAAATCCTTTTCTCTGATTTTTCCTCAAATAAGTTGATGTCAAGTGCTTTATCTTCAGTCTCACTAATTCTGACTTCATTGCCTCAGTTCTGCTCCTATGACTTTCTGTTGATTGAGTTGTCTAATTCTGAAATTTTATTGTTAATCTTCGGTATTTCTGATTGCTGTCTTTCTATGGATTCTTGCAGCCTGTTAAATTTGTTATTATGCTGTTTAAACTTAAAAGTTCCTCTGTTGCTTTGTCTGTGTGTTCTTTTGCTTGTTCTGTATTTTTCCTGATCTCTTGAAGAGTTCTGTATGTTAATATTTTCTATTCTACCTCTGGTAATTCCAAGAAGTTCTCTTCCTCTGGAAAATTTCTTGAATCTTTGTTTTGGAGCTTGTTGAAGCCATCATGGTCTGCCTCTTTATGTGATTTGATATTGACTGTTGTCTCTGAGCCATCAATTAGTTATTATATTTATTTTATATTTGCTTACTGTGTCCTAGCTTTTTGTTTTGTTTTGTTTTGATATTCCCAAATAGGCTGCTCGTGTGAGCTAGTTTGATTATTGGTGCCTTTGAAGCTCTAATGTCCTGTTACCTGGTGGTTAGATCTGTTACTAGGTATGCGAGCCCAGGAGTCTTTTTACTTTTCTTGTATGGATTCAGCTCAGGTGTCCAGGTAGTCAGTCACCAAGTGTGTGGTGCAGGCTCTCATCTGCCATCCTAGACAGGCAAGGGTGAATGGTGTGGGCACAGATATGTAGCTGCAATAGAAGGTCAGGCGCTGAGCAAGGCAGTGGGCTGACGGTTGCTCCTGAGTGTCTGGGAGGAAAGCATCTTCCTGTTGCCTAGAGCATGTAGGTGGGTGGGTTTTACAGTCAGACTGTTAGCACCCAGTGTTGTTGATGTAAGGACTGGGGGGGCACGACTTATTCTTGGACCCCTGTTGTGGGTGGCTAGGTGGTCTGGATGGAGCCACCAGTCATCAGGCCCCTGATGTGGGTAGGTAAAGACCTTGCTTAATGGGCTGAGCAGTGTCAAATGTCACGAACCTACTACTTCACCATATAGATGCTACAGTTGAAGTTAGGCTTCAGGTATATACTCTGTTGTGCTTTGGTAATAAGGGCTTATGTTGTTGAAATGGGCCCATACAGGTCTGTGCAGGGGTGAAAGACATTCAAAGTCTGTGGACCCCTTATGCCTGTGCCTAGGCAGAGGAGCTGTACCTATTCTGAGTTCCTATTTTAGGGGAGCTGGCAGATTACTTTTTCCTCATTGTTAATTTGTTCCCTCTCAAGGCCATGTGAATGGCTCAGGGCACGTAACGGGTCCCCCTTCTGGCCCAGGGGACGCGGCAGTCACTGAAGCTGGCCCGGGGTGGGGTGCAGAGTGGGGGGGGCAGGTAAATTGGGAAAGAGGTTTTTCCCAAAGGAGATGTTTTCTGATCCATGTGGTAGGTCTGATGCATGTGCTTATCTTTTGCTGATTGAGTGCCGCTTTTCACTGGGTCTGGAGGTGTGAGTAGACTCTCTGCCACTTGGTCTCTCCCAATATGGAAAACACCTCCCGAGCGCCACTGCTTGCCTCACAGCACATGCCAGCCTATCCGGCCTGAAGGGTGCTGGCTCCTGCCAGGCCAGGTCTAGCAACTCCTCGCTGCTTCCGAACTGTCTCTCCCTCCCCCTGCCACTCGATCCAATTCCTCAACTTCACCTTTGATGTTCAGGGCTCCTAGATTGTCATATATAATCGATACGGTTGTTTTTTCAAGCCTTTGTTGTAAGAGGGACCACAGGAAGTGTCTCTTGGCCCCGCCTCTCTGATTCTTTTTTTGAAAATGATGTTTGTAGGAAAATGCTGTGAAGTTCTGTTTTTTTCTTGCCCCTCTTAATGAAACTAGAGTTAAATTTTTGTGTCACTGGGCAAGTTGAAATCATTAGCTTCCTTTTAGAAAGAGACAGGGTGTGTTCTGCCTTTTGTGTGCATCAGTGGGAGAGAAAAGGAAAAACCTCAGTGGTAATTTTTCCCCCATGCTTAAGTCCTGGTCCTGTCTATTGAATTTATGTGGACTCTTTCCTCTAGTCACATGCACTTTAGAGAATTGTGCCTGACCCTGTCTATATAGCCTGTCTGAGTCTATCTGTGTTTGTCACCTGTACTGTGGTCAAAGTACATTATCTTGCTGGTAACTTGGCAATTAGAAATCTTAAGTTCTATCCTGAATGGAAGTAGCTTAAACTTAGATTTGAAAGGATGGTCCATGGGTTAGCAGAGCTGGCTAACAATCCTTTTCCTCCTTTTCTTTCACCTACACACACACAAACACACACAGACACATACACACCCTATCTGTTATATCTGTAGACTGTCATAGCTTCAGGTACTCCATGGTTCCTCTACTTTGGGATTTTGGCTCCTCTTACATTCTTTGTTTCACCTTAGGTTTGTTTGTAAGTCTGCTGCAACTAAAAGCTCTCATCGGAAAGATCATTTAGACTAGAAATTTTGTCATATGCATGATGACATAGATTACTCACTTAGAGGGTGGAGGTGTTTAGGAGAAGTTAACGATTTTAATTCATACTGAATATGAAAGCTTATGTTTAAGAACACATTGTCTTAAAGAGAGCTCTTGCCATCAACGCCAAAGAGTTTATGGAAGATTTTAGTGTTTATGCTGTATATGAATAATACATATTATGTACCTAAATCTACACTTTTGATGAAGACAGTGCATTCATATATTAACATTTGAAATTAACTGAACATTTCAGTGAATTTTTTGCCTTACTTTGTGAAAGCCTAAGGCAGATGAAACATTTTTGTATTTCTACTTTTTGTTTCATAATTCACAGTTAAATCCTCCAAACCAGGCATTTCAAATGGCACAGTAGCCCAGAGAATGTTTTTATCCTTGAGCGGACTGACTGAACAGCTTATCTTTACAGTCTGCAGTTCAGGGGATAAGAATAGTGTTTAAGTGACTTCTAATATGTTTTTACAGAGTATTTTAATAGTTATACTATTTATAAATTAATCAGTAGGAACATTTAATAATATATCCTTTGTTTTCTAACATTTGCAAACTTATCTCCTGACTCCTTTAAAGTTTGATTCAGTCTACAACTTACCTTTGAGCCTTATTTAATTCTTTTATGTTAGATAACTTTCCAAACAAGCAATATTGCTTTACTTTTGTAAAGATTGTTAATATATTGGCTAAACAACCCAATTATTTAAACCTCATTTCTTTATCCTTAATACTTTTACTCAGACATTCTATGTTTAATACAAATCATTAGAATATTTAGATTAACAAGACCATTATCCTAAACCAGATGCTAATAGATTGATTGGCAAAGAAGACTAAACATCATAACCTGTTCACACTGAAATATGCTGTCCTCTGGTATCCGTGATTTTAGCTTTTGAATAACATTCTGGAAATGATGCTGTAACCATCAGACAACTCCAGTGATTATGATACACTGGTAGCTCTTAGTGTGCATGACTCTGATTCCTTATTGCAAGCTGTAGTTTTGAGAATGCTAAATGCATTGTATGCCATAAGCCTTTTGGATTGCTCATTAGTGAATTGTAATTTCACACTTCATTTAAAATATTCTTAAACATTCTCTCACAGTAAAAGGTTTCACACAGTAATTAAAAGACCTAGTTAACAAAGTCTGAGAAGTCTGATTTCCTTATGGGGAATGATTTTGCTAAACTGTAGCATTTCAATTAATACATTAGAATTTGCCAAATAGAAATTTTATATTGCTGTGACCCAAAATATTATTGCCTAGTGAAAAGTGAAATAGTGTTTGCTCTCAGGAAATAAATAAGCATTTTAACTTTTGTCCTCCCTTTGGTGCAGATTGAGGATGAGCTTTTTAATCCAGATTATGTGGAGGTGGACCGGATAATGGACTTTGCACGCAGCACAGACGATCGGGGAGAGGTAACAGAAGATCATTTGTATTAGGAGGAGGAGGCTTAGACAGCACATCCGTGTTTATGGAGAATGATGTGTAGAATCCTAGATCAGGTCCCAGTCAGAGCCTTGGGTTATGATGCACTTGTTCTAAATTTAACTGAAATTTACTGACTTGCTATTAGTTTTTGACTCATTAATAATACTTAATGTGTTTTACGTTTAATTTGAGAGCTTTTAAAAAAAATCAGTTTTCAATATGAAGCCAATACATTTTACACAATTTCAGAATACAATCAATAAAGAATCAATCTGTTTTGGTATGAATCTCTCATGTAGCACCAATTTCCCTTCTATAATGAAGAGTGCTCTTGTAACAAAATGGAGTTTAATGTTATTTAGCATTGGGCATCCTTAGTGAAACTGATGAACAAAGTTTAATGTTCACCACAGAAGATAGTACAAAAAATATTTCTCTTGATGAAATCCTAGTCTTGACATTCTCATGTTGCCTTGCAAAACCCTGTGAGGTTGTAAAGGACGAGTCTAGTGGCTTCCTGAGCATTGTGTCTTGGCAACCATGTGCCCACCATGACTTCTGTCATCCTGGCGTCTTCATGTAAATTTAGTTTTAGATAGAAAGTGTTTGGGTTTTGCAAGCTTGTCTAACAACTCTAGTGAGTTCACAAAGAACTTCGATCTTACTTCAGACTCTCCATCAGGAAACTGTGGTGTTCCAGAGACCAAATCTGTAACTTGATGTTTACTCTTCTAGTTTTGCTTAGTCGTACTTGAAGTTTTTTGCTTCATAGCAAGTTTACAAAGCACAGCAAATGTTTTTAACAGTGCAACCAGAAGGTCAGCGTACCTTGGTGCTGAAATGAGGGTCAACAAGCCAGAGTGTTCTCTAGAGGAAGACAAAGGAAGTCCTGCTGATCCCAAGATAGTTTTCCCTCCACTCTTCTAGAGCTCAAATACATTATTTCAGAGAGATTCAATATAAACAATATCTTTCTCCCAGGGGAAAAGGCAGAGCTCCTAACACATTTACGCTTATTTCTCCTTATTTCAGAAACTAGCCACTTAAGACTGAATCAGACACTTGATACCTGACTTGCATGTATAAGAATAAGGCTCGAATTCAGCTCTAATTGCTTACTAGCTATTTCTTCATACTTTTTGGCTTTTCACTGTTTACAGTTTTGATTGGAGATTTTAAACTAGGAACCTAGTGGTCAGAATTTTAAAACTTCTACCACCTCAGACATAACGGTTGCTGGAGTAGTGTGTATGGATAAATGAAGCAGAGAGTGTGTTTTTCCTGGGAATTCTTTTTTTTTTTGGTACAATCACCCCCTTCTGGTCTCTGCCCCTGGCCCAGCCTGTGACGCACTACCTGGTGAAGTGGTGCTCGCTTCCTTATGAAGACAGCACGTGGGAGCTGAGGCAGGACCTAGACCCGGCCAAGATCGAAGAGTTTGAAAAACTCATGTCCAGGGAGCCGGAAACAGAGCGTGTGGTAAGTATTGGCCCATGCTGGAAGATTTAATTTGAAAATAGCATACTGGTGTGGTCGCTGAGAAACCACTAATGGGATTTACTGTATTTGAAACAGGAGCGACCTCCTGCTGACGATTGGAAGAAATCAGAGAGTTCCAGGGAGTATAAAAACAATAACAAACTCAGGGAATACCAGTTGGAGGGAGTGAACTGGCTACTTTTCAATTGGTACAACATGTATGTGAAGCATATTTTTCTTCACTTTTAAAAATGTCTGTAGCTCTTTTCCTCTGTAGTTATTTAAAATATCAGTTTAAAAAAAACTTAAATAATATTTTAAGTCTCTAAAAAGTTTTAAAAACAATAAGCATTGGGAATATACTTTATTTATTTATTCAGCAGATATTAATAATAGAGATTGATAGAATTATGTAGAATTTTTATTTCTTAGAATTTTGTTTGGAAGTGTATTTTATTGACTCTAAGAGAACATGTGAAGCCATATGGATATGCATTGTGATTGTAATAGTTTACGTTTTGTGAAAAGACAGCAGTATCTAATATCTGTACTCATTAAACTTCCGTTATTTTATTTTCCCCCAAAGGCGAAACTGCATTTTAGCAGATGAAATGGGTTTGGGAAAAACTATCCAGTCCATTACATTTCTCTATGAGATATATTTGAAAGGAATCCATGGCCCTTTTTTAGTAATTGCCCCATTGTCCACAATCCCCAACTGGGAAAGGGAGTTTCGTACCTGGACAGAGTTGAACGTGGTTGTGTATCATGGGAGTCAAGCTAGTCGTCGGACCATTCAGTTGTATGAAATGTACTTCAAAGATCCACAGGTAAAATGTCACAGATATTATCACTTATGCTTATCATGTGCCTTTAAGGAGCTGGAAGTTAAAATGGTCTTAGTGGCTTGGGAGAAGGTCAAGATTTTGCTAAATCGAGAGACTTGCTTGAGATTTCTTATCCAATTTATATTACACTTAAATGTTTATATCACATTTCTATATCTTATCAATGCAGTTCTTTATTTTTAAAGCTTTGGTCATTCTGAGTGTAATTTTTACCTTAGATGACCATAGAAATCCATGTAACTTACTGATATGCTAATTGGTTTTATTCTGTAAGCCTAAGAAAAAGCTAAATTAAAAAATGGTGATACTGACTATGAATCAAAAGAATATTTTATTATAATGTATTATAATGTTGCTAGAAGTGAAAAATATTAGACATGTAAAAAGTCCTTGAAATATGTGACACGCTGAATGAAATATATCCAAAGGGAGGGATTTATATATTGGCTTAATTATAGCAATTGCTATAATTTTTTTCTAGTTACCTATATGCAGTTGCTTATTCTGTGATATTGACAGTGAAGCATTATAAATGACATGATAAAGAAGGAAGAATAGTAATGTGCTAGAAATAGTTTTAAATCCTAGGTAGTAAATGGAACTTCTGTAATTGGAAATGGGAGAGTTTTGTTTTGCATTTTTGTTTAAGTGTAACTGTAACATTTGACCTGTAATTAGGTAAGTAAAAGTGACAAAATACTGAAATCTATTTTTGTATTTACCTTTAGCTTTGGGAAATTATCCTAAGTTCTGTCTTGAGTGAATTTTTTTTTTTAAACTTTAGAGATTTTTTTAAAAAGTTTTAGAAGTAAAAAGTAAAAGCAGTTTTAAAAAAGTGAGCTTTGTACATATCCCTTTGGCCTTTCACCTTTTGGAGCCTGTAGCTTGACTAGTGTGGGCCCCTCTTGGCGCTTGGCTGCACGTGGTGTATAAGGAAGTTGGATCAGAAATTTTGCTAACAATTTTCTAACTTCCTTAAAAAAAGGAAAAGTTTTTGAACTCTGTGTTATACCCTAACAGCTTAAAACCTCGAAAATAACTTGAAAACAGAATATGTTACCTAAAATAGATTTCCAAAAGGATAAATACATGTTTATGCTAATTTATTCACCCTTAAAGTTATTAATGTAACCTTTGATGCACAATACTAATTCAGAGTTGTTTTTGTAGGGTCGAGTGATGAAGGGGTCCTATAAGTTTCATGCCATCATCACTACATTTGAGATGATTTTGACTGATTGTCCTGAGCTGCGGAATATTCCATGGCGCTGTGTGGTCATTGATGAAGCTCACAGGCTGAAGAATAGGAACTGCAAGCTGCTGGAGGGGCTCAAGATGATGGACTTGGTCAGTAGTTGTGTTGGTGATTCCATTGAATCTGAATAGAATTATTACTGACTTGGGATTCTTGCTGCTGTGAATTTGATGCCCGTGAAGGGTGTTTGCAGAGCCTGTCAAGTATTGTCATATATCCTCTTAGACTTCCGGTTACTCAGAAAGAGCTTCTGTCTTCCAGATTCTTACGTTGTTTGCTGGTGTCTTTACTACAGTGGTATACAGAGAATATAGTCATAGTCTTATTTTTACTCAAGTGAGTTTGAAGTATTTTCTTGGATTTCCCCTTTGTTTATAAATACGGACATTTCAGAAGCTGGGGCCAAACTTCACCTCATTGGGGATAATCCAGTTACGTTTCAGGGCTCATGGGTTTTGGCATAGTGTGGTCATTAGAACTGGTAGGTGCAAGTTCTCGGAGAATTTGGCAGGATATCTGGGATTGGTCCAGTTTGCACAGCCACTTAGAAGTTTGAGGCATTTACAAGACCTTGGATTTGATCTGGAGTTGTAGACCACACAAGCCTATCCTCCTCCAGGTTCCCAAGAGGTGGTCAGGTGTTCCTGACTAGATTTTTTCAGTAGGAGTGTCATGGGATGACATGTTGTGTAAGTAGCAGAATGTGACTGATTTTCTTTCCCATGCTGTGTGTGTATGTGATTTCCTAGCAGAAATTGCTCCATGCTGTCAATCATCCCAGGCTTTCTTTTCACTCCATAGTTTACAAGGTGGGTTATGATAATTTGTTTTTCACTTTTAATGTACAATTTGGAAGCTAAGTTATTGTCATTTAGCATGTCTTAGGTTTTTTGATGAGTTTCAAAAAAGTACAAAAAGATTTTAAAAAATCCCTTTAATGTGGACTTCTAGATAAGTTTGATTTCTTGTTAATTGAGAGTTTGAAATGGGGAGGAATATGCTTTAGTTTCATGGCTGTAAATTTTTTTCTTTTTTTTTTTTTTTACTGAATACTGTGGAACAATGGAAAAGAATACCTAAAAGCTTTCTGTTACAGCTGGTTCTTTGAAGCAGCTTCTTTTATTCTTAAATTAAGGGGATTTGATTAGCCAGCCATTCTTTTAATTAAAAACAAACAAACAAAGTCTAGTTTTGTTTACAGGAAGAAATCTAATTGAATTTTCCTAGTTAGGATGATATTTCCCATTTTTCTACCTAATGAGGTACTATTAAAGCTATCCTAAGTAGGACCTTTCTCAAAGCAGTTTATATTATTTAGTGACCAGTCCACAAAACAACTTAGGAACGGTATATAGTCATGAAATCATAGTTAAGCATATGGAAAAGGGAAAATCTATGGCTATATTTGGTCTCTCCAAGTGACAATTTAGCATTGCGTGGAAATAAACCTGTATTTGCAGGTATACACTAGTACTACCTCCTACCCATTGCCAACAAGTTGATTCCAACTCATAATGACCCTATAGGACAGAGTAGAACTGCCCTGTAGGGTTTCCAAGGAGCAGCTGCTAGATTTGAACTGCTGACCTTTTGGTAGTTGTAGCGCATAACCACTGCACCACCAGGGCTCCAGGTCAACACTAATGCTCATTAAATACCTAACTGTGTCTTGTGTGCAGGGCCCTCATCTTCCTACTGATCCATGAAAGAGACTGTTACATCATTGTTCCCTGAAGGCGGAAGTGGCTATCTGACCGAGTTTATCTAAGTTGTGTTCTGTTATTAGTTCATATGGGTCCAGATAGTAAATTTTTACTGCAGAATAGGCCTCTCCTTGTGAGTACAAATGAATTTAACTCTATCAGCATGAAACAATCTAATTGTCATTGGGAGACGTCAGAGGATTTTCTGTTATTTATACTAAGACTTCTAGAGCCCTGGTGGCGCCGTGGTTAAGCACTTGGCTGCTAACCGAAGGGTCAGCAGTTCAAACTCACCAGCCGCTGTGCAGGAGAAATATGTGGCAATCTGCTTCCGTAAAGATAGCAGCCTTGGAAACCCTATGGGGCAGTTATGCGCTGTCCTACAGGGTCGCTATGAGTTGGAATCGACTCAGTGGCAGTGGATTTGGTGGGGGTTTTTTTGTTTTTTTTTTTTTAATACTAAAACTTCATTTGTCTTGGAAGAAGCACAACCAGAATGCTTCTTAGAAGCAAGGGTGGCGAGACTATGTCTCACATATTTTGGATATGTCAGGAGGGATCAGTCCCTGGACAAGGACATCGTGCTTGCTAAAGTAGAGAGTCAGCGAAAAAGAGGAAGACCCTCAACGAGATGGATTGACCCAGTTGCTGCAACAGTGGGCTTAAGCATAACAATGATTGTGAGGATAGTGCAGAACTAGGCAGTGTTTCATTTTATTGTACATAGGGTCGTTATGAGTCGGAACTGACTCAATGGCACCTAACAACAACAAAACTTCATTAATGGATTAGAATCTGTTATCCAGATAAACTTGCTGTTACATATCACAGTGTGCCCTAACCTTTTTCACAGAGTGGCACGTTTAGAAAATAATAAATATTTGTATGTCACACTTGGGTAATAAGAGGCTTCCAACTGCCCCTGGGTGGTGCAGTTAACGTGCTTGGCTGCTAACCAAGAGGTTGGAAGTTCAAGTCCACCAAGAGACACCACAGAAGAAAAGCCTGGTGATCTACTTCTGAAAAATCAGCCATTGAAAACCCTGTGGAGCACGGTTCTATTCTGATACACATGAAGTCCCCATGAGTCAGAATTGACAGCAACTGGTTTTTCTGGTTGCCAACTACCAGAGGTGACAAGCTGGGGGACCCTGATTACCCTAGCCCTGCCAGCTGTCCCCAGGACTTGGCTTACCATCTGGGGAGCTGAATTAGCAAATGAATGAAATGTTTGCTTTTTTTTTAATTGTGTTTCAACATAGCAAAGATTGATTTTTTTTTTTTTTTTTACTTTTTTCATTTTTTCCAATACAAAAATTTATACATACACTGTTACGTGACTCTAATTGCTCTCCCCATACTATGATAGCACACTCCTCCTTTCCACCCCTGATTCCCCATGTCTATTCAACCAGCTCCTAATCCTCTTGGCCTTTCCATCTCACCTCCGAACAGAAGCTGCCCATTTAGTCTCTTGTATCTACTTGAGCTAAAAGGCACACTCCTCATGAATATTACTTTATGTCCCACAGTCCCGTCCAATCCCTGTCTGAAGAGTTGGCCTCAGGAATTGTTTCAGTTCTGGGCTGATACCAGCAGCCATGCTTTCTGGGGTACCTCCAGTCTCAGACCATTAAGTCTGGTCTTCTTAGTAGAATTTGAGATCTGCACCCCACCTTTCTCCTCCTCCATCTGGGGCTCTCTTTTGTGTTCCCTGTCAGGGCAGTCATTGGTGGTAGCCAGGCACCATCTAGTTCTTCTGGTCTCAGGGTGATGAAGTCTCTGGTTTATGTGGCCCTTTCTGTCTCTTGGGCTACTGCTTTTCTTGTGTCTTTGGTGTTCTTCATTCTCCTTTACTCCAGGTGGTTGAGACCAACTGACACATCTTAGATGGCTGCTTGCAAGCTTTTAAGAGCCCCGACGCCACTCACCAAAGTAGGATGCAGAACATTTTCTTCATAAGCTTTATTATGCCAGTTGACCTAGATGTCCCCTGAAACCATAGTCCCCAGACCCCTACCCCTGCTACTCTGTCCCTCGAAGTATTTGATTGTATTCAGGAAACTTCTTAACTTTGGTTTAGTCCAGTTGTGCTGACTTAACCCAGTAGTGAGTGCTGTCCTTCCCTTCACCTAAGATAATTCTTATCTACTCTCTAGTTAGTAAATAACCCTCACCCTCCCTCCCCACCCTTGTAACCATTGAAGAATGTTTTCTTCTGTGTTTAAACCTTTTCTTGAGTTCTTATAATAATAGTGGTCCTACACAATATTTGTCCTTCTGTGACTGACAAAATTCACTCAGCATAATGACCTCCAGCTTCCTCCATGTTATGTTTCACGGCTTCATCGTTGTTCTTTATCACTGTGTAGTATTCCATTATGTGGATATACCATAATTTGTTTATCCATTTGTCCGTTGATGGGCACCTAGGTTGTTTCCATCTTTTTGCTACCGTCAACAGTGGTGCAGTGAACATGGGTGTGCATATATCTATTCGTGTGATGGCTCTTATTTCTCTAGGATATATTCCAAGGAGTGGGTAGCTGGATCGTATGGTACTACTACTTCTAGTTTTTTAAGGAAGCGCCAAATCAATTTCCAAAGTGGTTGTACCATTTTACATTCCCACCAACAGTGTATAAGTGTTCCAGTCTCTCCACAACCTCTCCAGCATTTATTATTTTGT